GTTCCATCTCGCACGTCATGGTGCACCAAGCCTTCCATCCCTCCAGAGTCGGTAAATTGGAATCAGGCTGTGTGGGAGGATAAGAAAACGGACTTGACGGATCGGTAAGCTATCGCTAGTCATCGTGAAGGCTCAGAGATGCATCTAAGCACCACAAACGAAGCTAAAACTTGCAAGACGAATGCACAGCGCATGTCACAGGGATTTTTCAACGCAGAGAGCTGTATCCTTAATCCTTCATTCAAAATCGTATAACTTAATCCGACGAAAGCAGATAGGCTAGCCGAACATTTTCTGGAGATCTACTTTGGTTTCGACTATCATATTCACAGTCCATTAGTGATCAACTCTCATGACCGACTTATTAGTACATTGGCATTTATTGAATAACTCATTGAATTTCCTTAACAGCAATTACGAGGTTGTTCAAATTGACGATTTATTCGGTACAGGATGAACAGCACAATCAACGTGATGGATGGCTGACGATTCGGCTTTGTTGCCTTTCTTCAGCAGCCTGAAAGAGTCAAATCTGATATGGAAAACACTCAGATGAGCACTTTCACAACTAGAGCAGAAAATGTCAATCATGACATTTATTGTACTGTTCATCTGTACCTAGAAATATCGCCAACTCAACAACCTCGTACTTGCTGAGTAAGGAAATCACTAGTGATCACTTGTGTTGATATTGTTTCATTCTAAACGATTTCACAAGCAGTGCACCGAAGAAACACTCCCCCTTTGTATACTAGTGCTCAATTTCTTGCAATTCCTATGGAATCTTGAACTCGTGGTGGCGAGTTAAATCTCTGTTTTATGTTCTGTGAATTGTTTTTTTTCCCTCTTGTTAGAAATCTGTTTGAATTAACTCGTCGCACGCACAATGGTGGACTGTTTCAGAAAAATGTGAAGACGTCCAAAATGCAACTGCGCTAAAGATTATGCCGTCCAGTGATGTCATACTACCTTCCTTCATTACATCGTCACAAGCATATCACCACCGCTTTGTCTTTTTCAGTCTGCAAAATCGAAAATGTAATTTCTGTGATGTATCGATGAATGAATGGTACTAGGTGTCTAATAAACGAAGCATCTCTTGATATAGACACAAAGCAAATTTTCAAATATTTTTTTTTCTGCTTTGGTTATGGAAGCGTTATGACCAAGTTGATGTATGCCAGTAGGACACTTTCAAGTTTTGAGGAAGGCAAGGCTGCCGTAACGGTAGACACCGATGCGATCTCTGTTGTACTGTTTCGTAGAGAATCGACGTGTATTAACAACCACGTGTTTGTTGAACTGAAGATGTTCACGGAATATTTAATTTCCCGCGATTTTTCACAATTTTCCCTTGCGTACTTGATATCCAGTATTCAGTGCCATCCACTCATCGGTACACCTCAGACATCAGATTTCAGATAAAAATAAGCAGATAGCTAAAAGAACAAACCAAAATTCAGTGCGGAAAGTGAAGAAAAGATTATCTAATCAGAGCAAGAATAGCAACGTGATCTTCTAATAATTTATTAAGCCTGAAAATGATCATTGCAAGAATAAGATTTTTATGCCATCTCAACCAGCTCGGAACGCTGTGTATCCTCAGTGATCCACGGATTTCCAGACTTCTTTCTTGCTAAATAAACTTCTATCCTTTCAATCATTTTAAACGTCGGCAACATCAATATTTTACTTGGTTTCTGTGAACACCTTATTAGTACGTTTTAGAAGAGGAAACAAATTTGTGTTACATACTAGGCTTGATTCGTTCGCTTGGCTAAGGTGGCTTTTGTGATTCTTTCATCACTCATAATAAAAAGGATAAAGGATAAAGCTATCGGCGTTGATCAATCCCTGAGAGATGCGCCATGCATTCGACTTCAATTTTTAACTTCGTTTGAGGTGATTGAATTCACATCTGGCCTTTACAATGACTCGCGGTGGCCTCGCGCTGAAACCGAGTCAGTGCTGCTTATCCTCCCAGACAAGTCTGAGACCTGTCTGGTACCAATTCACCGACCGCGGAAGGATGGATGGCTAGGTGAGCCATGAGCGCTAGATCGAACCAGTGACCTCGCGTGCGACGCAGGGCACCTCTAACCACTGCGCCACATGCGCTCTACATATATGTATACATATTCATACATATATATTTATACATATATATATAGGTATATATATGCATAAGTGTGGACATATACATGCATACATGTACATGTGCGCACATATATACCTAAGTATATACTCATGTATATGCACATACATGCATATATATACAGATATATTATATACAATTGATTGTAAAAAAAGTTTTGTCGTATTTTCAAATAGATAAGAAAAATATTTTGCACACTAATTGAGCATAGATAAAAAAAAATAAATGTCGACGTAGTTTCCCTTCAAGTTAGATATTTGAACTTCACGCATTATTTGCCAGTCTCCTGGAATGTGCCAAATCGTAACAGGATCACAATCAAAGTCATTAGCCAACACCCGGCAATTCATCGATGAATCTATCTCAATTCAACTGACAAATGCTTGGAGAATGACTTTTCGTGGACGTCTCTTTCCTGGTTGGTCGGTCGATGGAACTCCGACATTCTTCACAGAATTTTTGAACGAACACTGAGCAGTACTAACATCGTAAATTTCGTCACGACACGCCTTGCAAATTTGTCAGTCAGCCCCAGCAGCGTTAACATCGAAACTGGAGTTGAACTGGAGCAGCAAATTTTTTTCTTCCATTGTCAGCTCCATTCAGAAAGCCGTGAAAACAAGTGATATATCGTTCGATGAGCAAGAAAACAGGCTTTCTGATGAGCTTATATTCGCAGAAAATACATGTGTAAGAATCCTTTACTCACCAATACGACAAAGCTTCTGCATTCTATTGCATATATATATATATATATAATTATATATACATATATTTTCGTATGCCTTTAAACATAGATATGTATACGTTTGCACATGTATGCCTACATGTGCATATACACACTTGAGTATATGTACATATACATATATATGTATATACGCAAACATATAAGCTTGATGGAGAGCATAATCCTTAGCCTTTCAAAAGCTTTGAAACAACCAAATTTCTTGAGCTGTTCTTTTCATCTATCATGAAGCACTTTCCTCATAACTGAGTTGAAAAACATCCCAGTATAATTTTTTTAAGAGTTCTAATGACAACTATGTTAGACCAGCATTCAACAGACAAACCGCGGTGGTTCACAATAGCGTGAGCTTCTCTATATCCTCCTAATCTCTAGATAGTAAGAGTATCAGAATTGAGGACTCCATAGATTTCCAGAAAAGACTGTGATCTATAGAAAAACATGAACCTGAGGATACTACCATTAACTCCGAATATTAAGAGACTTTAAACTTTTCCGAGAAATAGAACAAGAACGAAGTTCAGACCGTTCATATTCCCTATGTGTGAACGAAAGCTGCGAACACCAACAGTAAGTTAGAAAGCACCACTATCCTTTTTTGCTCTGACCAAATCCTATTCGATCAACTGCTTTAACTGTTATATACCAAATACAAGTTATGACAAAAAAGAAAGCAAGAAAGTATTACGTGTTTATAGAAATTATTCATTCTCTTGCTGACATAAAATAGTATACACCTTTATATAATACCCTCGTCGTTTCTAAAGTCGCTCTCTGTGGATGGCAGTTAGTCGATTTTCGCCAGCAGCCCGTGATTTCCATTATTTAATGAGAATTTTTTCCTGTGTTTCAAAAAAATGTCAAGTTTTTTGTGTTACTCTGATACTACTTATTTTTTACTACTAGCTAATACACTTTTGGCGCATATACAAATCTTATTTGCCAAGAAAATTAAGACAGTGATGCGTAACTTTTTTTTTTCTCTTCTGCAGCGCGCTACCGAAATATACTCAGAAACCAGATTTAGCTTCAAGGCCAGCAATTATTGGCTATCGAATAAGTATCAGTGCAGTTTGATAAAAAGCCAGCTGCACAACCCTGCCATGCAGGCGAAGCATTCAAAGTGGTAAATATGATTGTGCATTCGTTGCTACAGCGAACTAAAAACGCCTCTTCAGAAATCAGGCATAGTCTTTGATTGCCAAGATATAAACTTTCGAATAGCTTTCGCAACTCCACTAGAAAAGTTTTGTCCGGTGGAAAACAACTCTCAAAAGTCGATTGGCAAAATGACAATCGCCACCCGCATAACGTTAGGTCTACATATTCACCATAGTGGCGGCACCAGAGAGAAAGAAAGGCACATATTTTTCTACCAAACTAACTCTACATTACCTGATCAAAAGAGGAAAGAGAGAACGAGGATGCAATCGTGTGTTCTTACGAGGAATAAGGCTGTCGTCAGTCGCCTTATGTTCTATTTGCTCCCGGACTCAAGAAAAACGGAATTTTAGAGTCATATTCATAGGTTAACACAGCGTTGAATGAACGTTTGAGAGTGCGTACATCTCTAATGTTGGTCACAACGAGACAACACTAACAAACATGTGTCTTTGTGCCACCCAGTAATTTTTTAAATCATGTCGTGTGATAATATTTGAAAATATGGCGCAGAATCGGGGATCTTCTGCTACATGTTAGACTTGCCTGAATATTGTTATGATGTTACAATAAACCCTAGGATGTGGAGTGGTGTGAAAATTGTTTGTGTCAGCTGGGACTTAAACCCATACTTCACTCTTTTGGGGGAGCGCGCAATGAGCCATTGCACTACCGACGCTAGTTTTGCACACCTCTTCTCTCTTTCCTCTCTTTCCACGTTACAACGCGTTATCTGTCAACAGCCAACCGTCTACGGTCATGCGTGGGCAGTGGCAATAGACGGTCGAATAAAAATGACTTCTGGTTGATTATTGAAACCCAATTTCTGTCAAAATAAGTGGGTTCAATGCCGATAAGTGACTGCCTACGTCAGACCGTATACGATTGGATGACGACAGATAACACGTTGTAGCGTGGAAAGAGAGGTGTGCAAAACGAGCGTCGGTATGTGCAGCGGTTCAGCGCGCGCCGCTCTCGTAAGGAGGGAAGTCTGGGTTCAAATTCCAACTGACGCAAACGTTTCTGCGCACCATTCTACGTTATTGGGTTTTTTAAATATTTCCTTCTAAAGAGGAGCAAATATCCTAGTTGCATTGAGAAAAAACGCAGTAAACACACAGGTACTATCGGAAGGCTAAGGTCGTTTTGATTGTGGAAAAAAAATCTGTTTGGTCTGTTCAATTGAAAGAAACTAAAGGCGCATTTATATCATGATGGCGAAACAGTAAAGAAGTAAATGTATTCTGCAATTTCAAAATCCGTATTGGTTGTATGTAAACGTTCTTTCATATGAGTGAGTGAAAAGTCCACCAGGTAGTCAATGCGGATAAACTCTCTGAGTTCCTAGAATCCGATTACAACTACGACACACAATATAGCGTCCAGAATGTAAGCTCAAGACTGCGCCTAATAGTGCCGTCGGTGCTCCCACATCGTCGCGCACGTGGCGGCTCGGCGGCGAGCAGTTCGCAGTGACCAGTGCGTCGTGCTGCCGTCCATCAGGAAGAAGGTTTGCTGGTTTGATTACCTATTATGACGCTCCACTATGAGTTTTTTGGTGCTATCTTTTTGAGATCGACTAGTGTTGGAATGTTCTTCTATAATGTAATAATCACAACAAAAAACACTCAGTTGCCACTCTTTTTGATAAACGTTATATGGCGACTGATGTCTGATGCTCATTGTATTGATTAGATAGGTTTGACTTCTCTAATATTTAAGACTTCCACTATTTTTGCTGAATTTTCGCAGGGGCTTGATATATGGATTGTACGTGAAAGAGCTGAGTACTGAGCAAAAAATTCGACCTCAGGCGGAGTTTAATTCGCGTTTCACCCACCATGAGTGAAAAGCGGGTTCAGCTCACCCTGAGTTCAAATTTTGACTCACCAATCAATCCTCTTAGGTGCATATAATCCCTCTGTACTCAAGGTTTTTGAAATTCATCTATAACGTGTGCCATGTATAGAATAGTGATCTACGAGGTACTCAATTCTGGTTTTATAATGGTAATGCAAGTCTTAAAAGTTTATATGGTATTTTCCCGTTGCGAGCACCTGATTCGATTCCTTGAAAAACACATATTTTTATCTTTTTTAAAGTGTTCTAATATTCCTTCAATGGCAACGATTAGAAGGAGTTCATTGCTGTATTTTGTTCGGAACAGCTCTATTATTGTGCTATAGCAACAAAAGTAGTATCATGTAAATCGTTAGAAATTTCTTGCTCAACTAAACTTTCCTCAAGACTCTTAGAAACGCATACGATAGCTTAAAGGCCGCCGATTCTAATGATGTGCTTGGTTTTTGAAGAGGACTTTTTAGTGCGCCGTACAAGCCAAAAGAATGTTAAGTTTTGCGCAGCACAACACGAAACCAAAACACCTGCTTTACCGGTAGAAGGGTAGGAACTATACAACATGACCGCCATGCCCACTGCGCTTTTGTCGATGCCAAATTTGCAAACAGAAATTTTCTTTGATTGCTTCAGCATACTAAGAAAGTCTTCCTCGAAAATCGGCTACATCATCGGAAGCGGCGGAATTTGAGCTACTCAAGTAGTCGATGAAATTTGGAAGGGAAAAGCATTGGTCGTCGAGAAACGCTTGAATGAGAAACGTAATTTAGTCTTTGCTATTACAGCACAGCAGTAAAGCCATTTGAAAACAAGGTAGACCATTATAATTTTTTGATCTAAGCTACTTCGGTTGACCTGCTCAGACTTGGAAACAATCACAAACCCTTTTCTTTCAGAGAGCTCGGAACAGAGTGCTTATAACAAGAAAAGTACTGTTGGCAATATCGTTATATACTCGTGGAATTGCACTTAATTCACAACGAACGAGAACAGGCTGGCCACAGTTGTAGTATCTCATGACCAATTCTTTATTTGAATTACAAAAGCTGTGCTCGAGGTGGAGAAAACCCGCGCGTGGCGATGGTGGGGGAGACATGAATCGTCCTGTAGCAGATTGCGGGGCTAAGGCTTATCATTTCCTTCTCGCCCTCTCTCTCTCTTCTCTCTCTCCTCTCTCACTCTCGCTCTCTCTCCTTCACTCATGTCTTACAATGTTATCTGCGAAATTTTCAGCTGCAAGCCACGTATCCATCAGTATTCGCTACTTGTGGTAGATGTTACGAGGACTCCTGTGGAGAAAAGAAGCATACTTTCAGCGGGAACATTTTGAACGACAACTGAAATCGGTCTTGCATGCATCTGAGAATAAAGAGCTCCTTCGTTGTCGAGTAAAACGCAGGCTCGGTGAATGTCACAAGAGTGAATTGAAACGTGAACTCTTCGCGCGCAAATGAAAACGAGGGTCGCCTCTAAATTTCCAAATTTAATCAGCCTTACATAGTTGTGTTCACTTTTGTTTTCCACTTCAGTCGCCTAACTCGACAACATGGGCCTCACACAAGGGTTCCGAGATGGACTGCCAGCATCGACTCAAAGGTGAGTGATTTCCGATAAAGTGAAAGGCCCTGAGGCAAATCTGTGTATGTGGATGGTTCTGCGGACATCTTTCTACTAAAGACCTTCAGCAGCCACTGCGATAGATTTGGGCGTAGAAAATTCTAATATTAAAATGTGGACATGAGTGTTTGTTGACCATTTGACTTACGTGGACCCCAAATTAATGCGACGACACACAATATAGCGCTAGTCGTCTAGAATGCAAGCCTTCACATCTTCTGGAATGTCGTCGGAGTTTATTTATCTCCAGCGCTATTCCATGCTGCTTGCTTGTGATGTCGAACAACCGGGCCTCGTGGCTTCTAGGCTCGATTGCTCAATAGTAAAATAGTTGGATAAACCCGACGACCTTACTAAGAACAATGTGGAAGCATACATTCTAGAAACGGAATCATCGGCTTTGAAGATGAAGATGAAAGATCGACTTAATTCGCTGGAAGTAACTGTTCATAGGAGTGTTAGTAACCAGTCGAAAGCTGATGCTTTTGGCTACAGCCCCACGTCACCAGCTTTTCAAAAAAAGCCTCTTGTTAACGTTGCTACAGAAGGAGATTTCTTGCTTTGCAGACGAGCATTTTTGCGCAGGAAAGAGCTCTTTCCTTGGACTATTAGTAATCATTCGATACCTAATCAAATTTGATTCCAACGCTATGCTTATATCCAAAAAACATTTTTTCTCTGAAGCGCAACAAGTGAAATAAGTTAAATTTGCACGTGTGAGCAAGGCCTTTGGCCAATTCGCGTGCCTGTGCGTGAGGTGGCCACGTTAACTAATGACGCCGTACTTTTCTACGCGTTCATCTGCCCTAAAAATCGATGACCATGACGTCATCGAACGCGGCCGCCTCATGCGTGGGCACGTGACTTGGCCCAAGGCCCCCTTGCTCACCGACATGCGCTTTCAACTTATTTTAGCTGGTGCGTTGCAGAGAAACGGTCTTTTCAGGATATAAGCACAGCTTTGGAAAATTCGATTACGCTATCGAATGAGTACTAATAGTCCAAAGGAAGAGCTCTGTCCGGCGAAGATGTATGCGTGCCTGCAACGCAGGAAATCTCCTTTAGTAGCAACGTCAAAAAAAACCTTTTTAAAAAACGGGCGACGTGGGGCTGTAGCCTGGAGTCTCAGCTTTCGGACGGTTATTAACATTCATATAGAAAGTTCCTGTCCAGAGAATGACGTCGGATAATCATTTGTCTCTTTATAACCGACAAGACTCCAATGTACTACCTACGCCTATTTTGCCACTATTTCTGCTACATGTGCGAAGAAAAGAAGCAACACCGGCTTTGCGGAAATGGGAAACCCTATATGGGATTGCAATAGAATAGTTTGTTGTACGAAAAGTACATCTGAAAGCTGTACGATCGAGTTTGCGCAGAGAGTTTAATGTGAAAATGAGAAAAATTTAGTACACTAGTGATCTGAAGAAGAAGAAAATATTGCGCGTACTACGGCCGAAATGACTTCTCTTAAGATCATAACAAGTCGTTCACAGATTAGAACTCCTTTCAAGCGTCAAAGCGAATGTGCTGAAGAGGAAGAAAAGCTGCTAGGGCTTCAGAAGCCTATGAGCCTATAGGTCACGACAGTGAAGGCACTTGTCAAGTAAAATTGTTGCTTTTTCTATGACGACATTTCTAACAAATTAGGAAGTATTATGGAGATTATTTCTGACATAAAGATAAGAAAAGATTACTGAAAGATGGAGGATGGATACAGTTAGATGTTTTGAGAAGAAGAATATGGAATAACGTCAGGACGACAATGAGAACCTGTGTCTCTCACGTCATTTCGGAGCTCCAATGACGTCATTTATTGGCCTCAATATTCTTTAAACGTCGTCCTTCAGTAGCTCCTAAACGACAATATTGTAGTTTTCCATAACGAGGTTTCTGACGTCAAAGATCTCATCATAGGTATTATTTGGTTGATGGAATGGCAAAAAATTTTTCGGACTTTTTTGCACTTGTTAATTATTCTTCATGCATATAAATTTTCGTTTTCACTATCGTTTAGAGCAACTCCAAGCGGTTATTTCGATATATAGCACTTATACATTTGATGGCACAGTGATGGTAAAGCGGGCATAGAAGTGCAACAGATTAGAGCCCGCGCTTCCGGATATTGTGAGATGCTGGTTCGAGTCCCGCCAGACTCAAAAGTTTTGCATATTTCTCTACATCACTGAATGAACCTATGACATCATCCCCCCTCGCTAGCAGCGGCTCAATAAAAAGATTTATGTTTGAACACTTATACATTTGTTTCAAGATGACCTGTTTCTGAGAGCAAAATCAACTGAGTAGTTCTCTGTGGTTGAAAAGGGACAAATGAAAAACCAACCTCGTTTCGCTGGAGAGAGACTTTTCACAGGAGTGGTAGTAACCTTCTAAAAGCCGAGACATCACGCTATAGCCCCACATGGCCGATTTTTCAAAAAACCTTATATAACGCGTAGAAACGATACCGCTATCTATGACTACTACTAGTCCGAAGAAAGGGCTCTGTCCGGTGAGAAGTACGCGCGTCTGCGACGAA